TGGTTATAACATCAATAGCGCATTTTAAACAACTGCACACCACCACAAACTGCCTCATTCTCTCACTGGCAGTATGTGACTTCTTGATGGGGGCCTTTGTCATGCCGTGCAGTGCGATGCGGTCGGTCTATGGCTGCTGGTACCTGGGAGACTTTGTGTGCAAGATCCACACCAGCACAGACGTCATGCTCAGCACCTCCTCCATCTTCCACCTCTCATTCATCTCTGTAGACCGTTACCTTGCTGTCTGCACCCCACTTTTGTACCTCTCCATAGTCAACTCTGTCACTGCTCTACTGATGATCATAACCAGCTGGGTCTTCCCAGCCATCTTCGCCTATGGGATGATCTTCCCAAACCTCAACCTGAAAGGCAGTGAGCACTTCTTTGAGACACAGGTGCAGTGTGTCGGAGGATGCACAATGTTTTTCAGCCCAGCATCTGCTGCATTCTCTACTATTTTTGCATTTTTCCTCCCTGGCCTCATCATGTTGGGCATTTATCTTAAGATCTACACTGTAGCAAGACGTCAGGCCAGATCAATTAGAGATCTGACACGGCAGATTAAGGTGGAGGATGGAAATGGGTCTGCAGTCTCTGGGAAACAAGAAAAAAAGACGGCAAAAACCCTGGCAGTGGTGGTTGCAGTTTTCCTCATCTGCTGGACCCCTTTTTTCCTCTGCAATATTATGGACCCCTTCATTGGCTATTCCATCTCACCCACACTGACTGATGCCCTGGTTTGGTTTGCTTATATTAACTCAGGTTTCAATCCTTTCATTTACGCTTTTTTTTATTCTTGGTTCAGGAAAGCTTGGAGCATAATTTTCAGCAGCAGAATCTTTTACAGAAATTCTTATCAAATGAAATTGTATTCTGAATGAACATTTTTGGCTATAAATCCATCTCTGTTACTATTCGATCCTCTGAATTCTTGTAATTTTTTTGAAGCGTTATAAAAAAACATATTGCATCTTCTATGCCCAAAATGTTTAAATTCTAACCATGTGTACAGAGGAAAATTGTATTAAATGTCTTTTAAAAGGAGTGATATATTGCTAAAAAAACTACATCTGCAGCTTTGAAAATAACTAAAGCTTTTGAAACATCTCTAATACGGTCCCAGGTTCATATCAGAGTTCAACATAGATCAAACAAATTTTTCTAATTTGAAAAAAGGTGTTTCCTTTGGTCACCATCTGTTCAGAATACATATAGTTCATATTGCAGTTTTTTCATTTAATTTGTGTTTTTATGTACATTATTGCATATTTCAAATTTGTATCTATATCCCATTAAAAATCACTGGGGGGTAAGATGAGTAGCATATTCACAGAGAGTGTCTTTGGGACACATAAAGACCCTTACTGCACCTTTACTGACACGCCGTACAAAAC